AAACATGGATACGGACATGGTGTAATATCAAATAGAATACACGGAAATACGAGAAAAAATTCAAAAATATATGAAAAATAGCATTAATAATGAAATTTTTTCAAAATTATGTATTAAAATAATATTACGCATTTTTAACAAATATTAATAATAAAACGTAGCAAATATTAATTTTTTGATTAAAATTGGAATAGATTAAAATAAATATCCACCATTTTCATCAAACATCATTACATCATCCATTAACATTCATAGTCCCTAAGTTACATAACAAGAAACGAAAAAACAAAATAAAAAAATCATACACTCCTCTTCATAGTTCATAGTTCATAGTTGTGAGAATTAAAAAAAATCCTAGCCAATATTTGTAGCCTTGTTCAGTCGTATCCAACGCATATCTATGTCGGAACATGTCCGACACTACCATGGCATGCATCCATGCTTCTTAGATTGACATGAAAAATAACGCCAACCAGAGTCGTAACGGGTGATTAATACAATGATACAAATGATGATTAAATTAATTTGTCAACCACGATACTCCTGCCACCCAACCGCAGGTTCCAGACTTGAGTACCATCAAGTTCAAATACATATCCATACAACCAGCACCTAGTACAAGGGGTTTCAGGAAATTGGGTTTGGAGAATCCCCACTTGCATTAATACAACATCCTTAGAAAAGTTAAATGGAGTGCGTGTTGATTTAGTATGAATAGAACTGCTATAGGAATTACATTTAAGTATACACTCATGCACACACAATCAATTAATATAAAATGTAAATACGCTATAATGGTTCTCAAGCGAACCATAATCCAAAAAGAGTATCAACTAATGGTTGGGAATACCAAAAGCTAATGGTTTTATATTGTACTACAAAAAAAGTTCAAATATAACTTTATAGATCACCAAAATAAATTACTAATGAGTAATTATTGTCACAATTTGAGATTGGAAATTTCAGGAATTTAAAGCGAATTCACCTCGTTTGGGATCTTGCAACCTTAGATCGTGGGTGCCTGTAGTATCTGCAGCCACGACATCCCTCATGCCATCTTAAAAAAAACCTATTTTTGACCTCATTTTCAACAATTAGCCAGCACTCTCTCAGTTTCTCTTCAGCCACCAACTGTCTCTCTCACTCTTCCAATATCAAGTCCAAAATCATCGCTACTGCTCATACTGTCAGACCCATAAATGCCTTTTTTTTCCCTTAAGATTTCATACTAATAATTTATCAAGTAGTAGTAAAAGCTATGTCCATACTCCATAGATGTTTTTCATTGGTCCATCTTATCTTATAGTTGGAGAAACCTATGTTGTATGAGTTTTGTCTGAAGGCAAGAAGTAGGATTTTGAACGACCATCATGAAAATAAAACTCTAACTATTTGAACGACCATCTTAACTGCTTTTTAGCTTTGCACCATCATTGTTGCCTGTAAGTCCATCATTATATATGTGATCGCTCATAATGAGCAATATTTGGATTGTATAAATACAATTCAATTGAGATAGGCTATTCAGGTACTGGGTTTCATCATTCAAGTTGCTTCAGAAAAGGGTAGAATTTAAGAAAATCATTCTATTTTCCCAATAGTTCCCAAGCTTGCCATTAAAGCAACCTCACATGAAGGTTTTTTCACCAAAAATTGTAAACAGTAACAAAAATGACTCTTCTCCATAGATCAATTGAACCATATGAATATAGACATCACTAAGACTCCAGATTCTTTCCATGAACAAGACTTCACAATAACAATGCATCCCTTCCCTCTGGGCTAAATTCATCCAAAACATGAAACAAAATTAAATAGCTATCTGGGTACTGCCATTAAAGAAACTATATAGATCATACCTATAACTAAAGGTCATGTATGAATTGGTGAATCCTCAAGGTGACAATTCCCTATATATGACTAACACTGATATAACACGGATAACAAATATGAACCACAAACATATCTAAGAACCCAATTATTATTTCTAAAAAAATTCAAACAAAAGAAAAATTAGATAAAAATCTTACACAAAGTCATAAACTCATTCTTCACAATTAACCATTCATAAACAATAAATTTAGAACACAAGGTCACACATTTAAAAAAAAACTCAATACCCATTCATATCACCAATAATAAAGCCCATTAGCATACATCACATTATTTCTTGTTGCTTTTACCTCCGGCATCACTGCCGCCAGCCCCCGCCGCCTGCCCCGCTTTCTTCGCCGCCTTTTCTTGAAGGGCTTTCCCATCCCTGCGTATACATGAAAACTAAAGTTAGGACTACAATATCAATGTTATCGACAGAGAAAAAAGTTGAATTTTGGAAGAAATTACTGAAAATAATTGGACCTTTCACGGCGTTGTTCGGGCGTCAATCCATCATCTTTGTTCTTTCCTTTTCCGCCGCTCCTAGCCTGAGCTCTTTCGCGATCTTTTTCTCTCTGATTTCCACGTTAAACCGAATTAAGGAAAACATAAAGAATATTAATCCACACACAAACTATATACACATAAATAAAGAATTTGCGAGTACAATAGATCGAAATTGAGCATTAACACAAAGAACAGGTGAATTGGAAGAAACAAATTTGGGAAAATTTCAAGGATATGAGTCATTGTGAAACAGCCGAAATAGTCGTCGACAAGGGAGTTCTGCTTTGAGAGGGAGGGGGAGAAGGGGGGAGCGGGGGTGTTGTTGACTTTTGGGGGCGTAGAGAGAGAGAGAGAGCGCTTATGATATAGGGCGAATCGTTTACATCTTGAAAACTTTCCAATATTTAATTTGTACCCTAAAACCTTTTAAAAATTAATTGCACCGAAGTTCCCAAAATATAAAATTTATTTTATTTGAGTCTCTAATATTTTAATTATATCATTTTGATTCCTAAAATATTGAACATATTTTTATGTGGTCCCTCAAGCAACATTCAAATTGTTAATAATTTTTTATTATAAATTTACCACGTGATACTTAAATATGGATAAAAAAATAATTTAGTTAACTCTTAACCAAAATTTGGATAGCTCTTGATAAAAAATGTGTAATTTTAGTAGTTCTTGATCCAAATGTGGATATCATGACCAAAACTATGTAATTTTGTAGTTTTTTGATACAAATTTTGGTCAAAAACTATTCAAATTATTTTTTTATTTATATTCAAGTATCACGTAATAAGTTTATAATAAAAAATTATTATCAATCTGGACACAGTCTGGTTGAGGGACTGCATAAAACATATTCAATATTTCAAGAACTAAAATGTGCAATTAAATTATTGAAGATCAAAATAAAAAAATCTCTTACTTTTAGGACCTTTTGTGTAATTAACCCAACTTTTTAATTCTTAACGTGTGCCCGGATTTGTATCTATAATATAAAATAGGCATGAGTAGACTTCAATAAGTCCATTCAACAATTTCAAATAAACTCATCCAACGATTACCAATATATCTCTCAAAACATTCGCATTGTTTCGTACTTTTAGTCACGAGATTACCCCTAGTCTATAAAAAAAATAAAGACACTTATATCCTTATGCATTTAATTAACCAATCTTATCAACATTATAAAAATTGTTGACTTACGTAATTTATCTTTAAACAAATGCTTAAAGACAAACTATCTATCCTTAACCTTTTAGCTCCCAATTTTAAACATTTACATAGTGTCAATTTCTTAATCGACTTCATTGCCACATCATCCAAGAGCTACTCCTAAATGACTTCCATTTTATCTATTTTTTTGGACCTTACAAATTCAAGACATTGTGTATTTAATTAATAGGTAATATATGCATCAGTTAGTTGTGTGTTTCATATTTTCTTTTCCTTCACATAGACTTAATACAAAAAAGTTTGAGATCTCTTTATAGACCCTTTAATTTTGTAACTTCGCTTATTTCTCGCTTCTCTTCACAAGTCAATTTCTATAATTTCTACACTTTCTTTTGTGTATTTTGTGCACATTTTGACAGGGGAAAACACCCACCACGCTAGAGTGACAGTGGAGGTGAACATTTGATGAGAAGGAAAATCAAGCGTGAGATATGGTCAAAAATTGCAACATGTTTTTAAATAGAGCTTTTTTGGGGTGATATTTCGTAAATATATACGTTCGCAGACTTGACGAATTTGGTAGCTTTGTCGAATATAGAATCTTGAATTGTATCACAAACACACCAAGTAAACAAGGTTCTATTATTAATCTTATTATAAATTACGTACTTCTCAAATATTTTAGTGTATAAGTTACAACAGGAAAATTACAAATATTATGGGGCCACAACAATCTAAATTTTGGCCATGCAACACATGCTTAGGTGGGTTTTAGTTTTATTCTTTCTTTTCCTTTTTGTTTTGGATGATGAATTATTTTGAAATTGAGTTCGAGATTTTGGTGAATTTTAATGATGGATTCTTTGTCGCAGCTACTGAGAAGGTCATGGTGATAAATATTTGGGTGAATTTTAATTTTTGATCAGCCAAGACAAAAGTATACACAATTGTGTTTTGTAGGTTGAATATTGTGGCCAATAAATACTTTTTTGTAGATATATAAAATACAAAATTATAATTATATTTGAAATTGTTGCACGTGTACACCAATTAGTGTCATAAAAAGCAAAAATGTGGCTGGAGACCATGTCATATGGTAAGTGAATGTTCCAAATTCATTTTAGAGAGGTCAAGTGACATTGTGTCATGATCGAGACTGCTCATCTTAAAGAGTGATAAAATGTCTTGGGTGGTGAAGGAATACGCATATAGATCAATTGAGCGTACATTGTCTAGCCCTAACTCTCTCTTCCGTCTCTTTGCCTTATCAAGCAAATATTTTCGATAGAGCAATGTTATTGAGATATATCTATACAGTGTATCTATATATCTATATACATATATCAATACCTCTGAACAATTAACAGATGTTATCACAAAGGCTCTTGGACGTGACATGTTTCATAACCTTTTTCGCAAGTTGGACATTGTGGACCTCCATGCTCGGAAGTATTGTCGTGATACCCACACATAGCCAGCGGTTCATTATGTGATACACGCACACAACCAGCTATTATTTCCTTATTAATTTGTACAGATTGCATTCCTTGTATAGTTCTTAATCTTAGCCTAGAATTATGCAACCTTAGCTCTATATATTGTTTGTACTGTCAATATCAAATTCAATGAGAAAATATTCTTCTCCATTCAAAGTGCAATATTGTCTTTCCTATCATGGTATCAGGGCCAATTTGGTTGGTGAATCTCATATTTTATAGGTGCACAATGATGTTCAATGGAAAAAATGGGAGTTTGATGTCCACTCCACATGAAATATTTACAATACCCTTGTTTTCTTTCCCTCTTAACCACCCAAACTCCCTCTTTGTTTTCTTTCCCTCTTAACCACCCAAACTCCCTCTTCAACCAGAATCAACCACACATAGCCTTACAGATTTATCTCTCTTGGTCATTTTCCCCTCTCTCTTTCTCCCTTTTCTTTAGAATCACACACACAAACACAAATAAAAATAAAAAATGCTATGTTTACCAAATTTTTCATTCCAAATGATATTGCACAATTTCTATCACTAATTATTAATGGAACTCACTTATCTAATAGTGAAAAACTGTTCGACATCATTTGAGATAGAAATTTGATAAAAAACAATTATCATGTCTTTTTCCCCTCTCTACTTGACACATTACATGCTTAGCAGGCACCAAACTGCCATTTATTGAAGTGGCAGTTTGTAATTGGTGTTGAGTACCAATTGTGAGTGCCACCTTTGGCACCTGCTAAGCATGCCATATTTTATAGTGTTTAGGACCTCTAGTACCGCAAATTGTAGAGGCTGTTATTACTTGTCTCGAAGAAAAGGTAATTTCCACTTGAAAAATATTTGAAGATCAAATCAGAGATTTAATTTAATGTGATCATATAATTAGTTGTTAGTTTCAAAGTTAGAGCGACCCACTTTTAATCTAACAATTGTAGTTGATCAGGTCTCCAAATTAAGTGTAAATAACATTTTCTTTTCTTTCAACTTAAACGGGAACCAAAGACAAAGATTCAAAAACCTTATCTTAAAGTTTATAAATCTCATAGTACTTTACCTTTAATTTTTCAAAATAATATTTATAACGTGTCCCAACAAATATCATTATACTATAGTAGAATCAATAATTATAAGGTAATTTTATTGTGATATTGGGATCACGAGTTCGAGTCATGAAACCAATCTTTTTACTTGCTTGCAAAGGTAAGACTGCATACATCTCTAACCCTCTCTAAACCCCACAATAACGAGAATTTCGAGCACTGAGTACACCCTTTATATTAGAAATCAATAGTCTTAGATCACGTAAGTGTCACTTGATGGAAAAACTGATGACTTTAATTAATTGGAATATATGACTATTGTTTTAAAGAAATTCAGAATACAGTGTGAGACTTGTATTGCAGAGTGGCACACAAGTCAATATGTGTTAAATGTAAAAGACTTTCTTGGATATATATAGATGGAGCCTATTTGGTAATGTTAAATGCAAAAGACTTTCTTGCACACATTAAACTGTCTCTAACTTAATTGTGGAAAAAAATGGAGCCAATTTGGTATGTTATTGAAAAGTCTTTGAGCAAATTCTTACAAGAGTAAGTTACAAGTCAATTAGTTCAAAATTATCACTTAATAAATTCAAAAAATTTAGAATCAATCCCAAAAAACATAGGATAGATATAAAAAACTGGCTCATTTGAGTTCGTAAACATAATATTTCTCCTTAGTTTTCTTGCGTCACTTTCAAACATTAGTATTTTGTTATGTAAAAGACTTTAACTTCTTTTTTTTTTTTTGGCAGGCAAAATGGGGGAGAGGGGCGACCATTATGTAGTGACTCCCCCTGGAGGTGATCACGAGGGCCTTCCCAGATGTAGAATGTTCGGTTAGCCATAGCAATAGACCTCTTAGGAATAGTCCGTCACCACACCACCACCGAAACCTAAATAACAAGACATGGGGATCCCGTGAATCAAATCTTGCTTGCTAACCTCATAAAAGTCAAAGATGACTCTAAGATGGGCATGCCTTACCATTAGACCACCGACTCCGATGGTGACTTTAACTTCATAAGACATGGAAAAATGAGGAATGAAAAATTTCAACTTGATGCATTTACACGATACGAATTAAAAAATAGCACAACACGACCAATAAATTGATTGATTTTATTTCAAACATGAATAACCACTACAGTTGTGAACATACAATATTCAACACGAGATTCTGACTAAACATCCTCGTGGACTCAGTTGAATTATTCAACATATTTCTCTTCAGACTTACTATAATCTCTCTTTAAAAACACAACCGTATCCCCACACCAACAAAAGGGTATAATAAAATGGATTCTAGGAAGATTTTGGTAATATGGAAAGTTCTCTTCA